GCTAATACTTTTAAGAAGTTCCCAGACCACCTGAAACTCATTTATGGTCTCTCCCTATGACCCCAGATTAACAACCTTCCCTCCATAAAGAGATGCACACTTTGTTCTAGTTGTCACAATATGAAATTGCAGTGTTTGTTTATTGTCTACTTATGCCAGACATTTCAGGAGCTAGATTGTTAAGGCTGTTGTCCTAGGATAGTATTGTTACTTACTAACAATGTAATTATGTACAGATACATTGTCTGTTGAAGGTGAGAGAGAAGAAAGGGAGTAAAGAAGGGAGAACATTTGGACAAGAATTACCAGTGATGAGTATAATACAGCCACCAAGTAATTTCAAATAGAAGAGATTCTGGATTAGGGACCATTACAGATTAATGGAGAGATACTTAGAATGTGCACATCAGTGTCCGTGATCACTTTCATTTTAAATGCCATCGGGAGAGGAGTAGGAGAGTTGGATGAAATAGGTGAGGGTGGTGAAAACATTTAATACCTTTTTGTTTCTTTGAGAAGAGAATCACAGATGCCGCAGCATCTCATGCAGAAGGCTTGGTCTCTGAGAATTATTGGTGAGTTTTGCAAGTAGAATTTCTCTAGGGGGCTGCTTGATGGTAAAAAATGTGGGTTTAATTTACTTGATTTATTTTTGTTTGTGTTTACATTAAGATGTATTTAGTACCATTATACTTCATTCAGCTTTTCTGGTTTACATTTGTCATTCCTGTTTTCATGTTATGTGGCCTTCAGAGATTTTGCAGGAATATTTGAGTACTTTTTGGGGGACATGAGAAGGGAAATTGGTGGGACGCCTTCACCCTTCAGAGGGGAAAGGGAATAATTTTGATGTTGATCTCAATTGATTTGCTTGAGAAAGTGAAAAGTTTGACCTGCCTAAGGCAAAGGTGAATAGAAGAGGGAAGACCAAAATTCTCTAAATTGAAAGTTATTCAGAACATTAACTATGATGGTGCCATTTAGTAATAGATTTTTATATAAGTGAGCAATAAATTTTAGTGGCAATGTGAAATGTGAATTAAACCAACGAGGAACTGTTCATTGTCTGTTAATCTGGGAAATACTACAACAGACAGTTGTGGCAAAGTTGGGATGAAAATGACGTGCTTGCCCGTGTGGGAGGTGGCCCAAAGTCAGTGCAGAGTTTCTGGAAAGCAGTTTTGCAGTTCCTGACAGTTGTTCACATTCTGGGCCCATTTCTGGAATTTCATTCTGAAAAGTGATTCAAAGCATAAAAACAATGTATGTGGAAATGTTAACTGTAGTATTTTTTGTAATGTTAAGCTAGAAATACCTGTAGAGTGCAACCTTAGAAGAGTGATTAAATCACAGAGCATCAAACACTTGATGGAATGCAATTAAAAATGGTGCCAAAGACCGTGACAACACGGAACACTATTTTTGATAGAAGAGAGCAAAGCACAACTATATGTGTTGTGTGTTTATGCCTTGAGTATAGCTGTGCAATAATTAGCTGCGCACTAAACAAAGACTGGAAGGAAATGGGAAAAATGAAAAACTGTTGATACATTAGGGTAGTGTCAGTATAGATGAAATTCAGAGATCTTTAATTGCTATTATTTCGTGCAATAATGAAACATTTTAGATAGCCTTCTAATTTTATATGCTCATGAATTAGGTTTAATATTGTATTAGATAGGAATTTAACTATTGGGTATGAAGAATGTTTTTGCCCCTAATGGTTAGCTATTGCTTCAAAACCATTTATTAAGTAGAACACTTGCCACTGATTTGAAATACCACCTTTGTTACATAATGTCCCTGCCTCTGTTTCTGGACTCTCGGTACTCAGTGGTCTGTCTCTGCTACGGCACTGTTTCAGTCGCCATGGTTTTAGTGTATGTTTTGCTTTCGAAGGGGCAAGTTCTGATCTCGCTCCACCCCTGCCTCAAACGTCATTCTTTCTCAAAATGTTTTTTTCCAGTCTTGTGTGTTTATTCTTCCAGATGAACTTTAGAATAAGCTTGTTGAGTTTCACTTGAAATATTCTGTTTGGGTTTGGTTAAAGGGCATTAAATTTATAGATCAGTTTGGGGACATAATCTTGCCTATTATGCCTTTTATTATTTCCAGAAGGTTCTGTGAAATAGTTGAGTGCTTTTTTTTTTTTCAAATTTGGGATATAGTGAATTGACAAAGAGGTGATAACACATGTATTATTTCTGCATAGAAGAGTGATTTTGTTATTAATGCCAACAAATTCACTGAGGGAAGTTTATAGTTTTCAATTGTTAAAAATAAAGTGTGCAATTGAATCCAGATGGAGAAATGCTGGAGGCACACTGGAATTCTGTAAACTCAAATTTATCTTTGCCATTAATAGTATTAGTGGCCTTTTAAGTAAAAGAGCAGATTTTTAGCAGCCACTGTGATGAGAAAGATCCCCCCCAAAATTGTCACCTGTAGTCGATTATGTCCACCTTGTTCCTCAGCACAGTTTCCTCCTGCTGATCTCCTTTGTGGCTTTGTCTAAACTTCCTTTGAGCTTTATCTAACTTCTCCGAATGAAAATGTTCCTTTGTGTTCATATTTTCCTTCCCAGGCTCCCTCTTTCCCTCTTTCCATCTCTCTCCCCCACTGCCCCACCGCCCCCCATCCTCTTCTGTCTCACTGGGTCTTTCTGTTGGTTTCTCTATCACCCCTTCTCCCTCCTTCTCCTGTAATCACACTGTGTCTTTTTGATCTCTTTGTGATTAGCAAATAATAAAATCCTTTTATGCTGAATATTACCCTTAACGCTAGGACTTCTGGGCATCTCTCTTTAATGGACATGTACAATTTCTGACCTGATTGGTATCTTCTTTTCTCACTGGAAAGCATGGCATGCTCTGGAAAAGGGGTCGTCACTGAATTATAAAACTTCTGTTTTGGATTGTATCGAAGAGGGTTGCAGTTAAACTCTTTCATAAGCTGTAGTTCTTGTTCACCCAACCAGATAAAATAGTAATATGATTTTTGTTTTGAATAGATACAGATTAGATATCCTTGTGATCTGTGAAAAACTTTGATCTGTATATGAAATGTGTTTTCTACTAAAAAAAACCCCATCAACAGGTCAGGTCAGATTGTGTCCACAAGTAATTAACAGTCCCTTTAGCAACCAGGAACATGACTAGAGCAAGCCTCTGTTCTTCCTTTTTTAGGAAATGGAATTTCATCGAAGTTTCCTCTCTCAGTCATGTCAGACATTTGTTATTGTTTCTTTTTTCAGGTCCTCTTCCTGAACTTTTTTTTTTTTGGAAGCTATTGTATGGCAGATTTTTCTTGGCCTGTGACTTTCTTTCTATTGGTTATGTTTGTGCACGTGTGTCAAGCTCACACAGAGAAAGGACAGTTCAAAACTGGGAGCCAGAGACTTTATTTTAGAACTCCACAATTTGTATTTATACCAGTTCAAAATTTAAGGTGATGATATTTCTAGTGTATCATGCATTGCAAACCACTAGAAAACCCTAGCCTTTAAAAAATTACAGAAGGAATAAGCAGGTGGTTTCTGGAAAGAGGCGCTGCACTTCAATTTTGTTTTGAGATTGACTGACCTACCTCTTGATATCCTACAGAACATCATGCTACTACCCATCACAGGCAAACAGCTGTTGAAGAGACTGTGCAGACTTCTCGCTGCTCACTTTTCTCCCCTGTCACAGGGCGAGGCATTCTCAGAGGGCGCGTTTGTTTTTGTTGGGCAAGCTCGCAGAAGCCCAGATGCTCCTCCAGGCTGGGCTGGGCTGCGCCCTGGAGGCCCTCCAAGGTGGGCGACCCCCTCCACTCCTGGTTTCCATTTCCCTGCCACTCCCACAGGCTGGGTGGAATGTACCCTCTCCCTGGAGGTCCCTTTTGTATTGCCGTTTTTGTGTTCGAGGGAGGGAGTGTCCTGAGGCCTCCAAGGCCACAAGATCACTGGGCAGGCACCTCCATCCCCACTGCTCCCTCGTGAGCACCGCGGGCGCCGCCCCTCCGCACAGCCTCTGGAGGGCGAGGTATCTGCCGGCACCAGCCTGCTGCTGCCCTTCCTCCACATTCCTTCCTTCCTCTGTGGCGGCGCGTGTGTGGGTGACTCAGGCAGTGCCTCTCCTGGGCACCGGGGTACCTAGCAGGATTCTGTTCCAACCCGAAGCTCTCAGGAGAAAGTGTGAGGCCAGTCTGGTGAGAAAGAGGACCTGGAAATCCCTTAGGGAAGACTGATAGCTACAGGAAAAGGCACAGCAAGTGTGGGAGCACATGGTGCTGTTTATTTGGCAATGTGTGTGAATATTTCAGGCTTTTACAACCAACTCTGATGTATGTAGGACGAGGTAAGGCCAGAGCCAAAGGATAATTATTTGGAATCTTTACCATGGTGCTGTATCACGTAGAGGAAAGAATGCAAGCAATGGTGTTCATCAGGTGGGAACTCAAACAGAGTAAAAGACCAAGTAGCGTATTTTTGCATCTCTTAATGAAGACAAAAAATCGTGCCCTGACCCATGTGGCACAGTTGGTTGGGCACTGAACCACAGGGGAAAGGTTGCCGATTTGACCTCTGGTCGGGGCATGTGCCTGGGTTGCAGGTTTGGTCCCCAGTTGAGGCACGTGCGAGAGGCCACTGATCAACGTTTCTTTCTCACACGGATGTTTCTCTCCCTCTCTTTCTCCCTCCCTTTTCCCTCTCTAAAAACAAATAAACAAACTCTTAAAAAAATAAACAATTCTTCCCTACACTCCAAACTTCTTCAACTTTAGAAACAGAACGAGCCAGCTGTGACCCTCACACTTCGACGCCTTGGAAAGCACCTCCCTGTCATCCAAGACGCTGCTGGAAATCAGTAGCGTTTCCACTGCTATTTGTAGCGTCTGAGCTCACTCACATGAAGCGAGTGGGACGGAGGGTGCTGGCTGGGACACAGGTCTTTTCTATTGTGGTTTCTTAGAGCCAGGGTGAGGAAGGGTGTTGATGCCCCAACTTATTTATTTTTCAGGGGCAGATGACAGTCTATGTGACGTTTGGCAAAAATGTCTATCTCCCTAAGGATGCCGAGTTTTACTTGATTTATAACGGATCTCATCAGAGACATGTCGTGGTCGCAGAGCGCACGGAGGATAATGTTCTCCAGTCCAGCGTTCCAGGTGAGGCGTCCGTCCTCTTTACTGTGCAGGTGGGAAATCTGTCTGTAAGCACCTTCTCACCAGGGACATGGGCTGGGAAGAAAACCAGGAGGAGAAAGTGAACAGTGTTTCCAGGAGGGTGGGCGTGTGAAAGTGTGTGCGTGTGTGTCTGTGAGGTCCTCCCAGCTGTATCTGCAGCTGCCTGAGCAACACTGCCTTAAACTCAGGGCTGGGTGTGCTGTGGTTGTGGTCCAGTGGAGGCAACACTGCATCTTAGGGTCGCCTCCTGTAGCCCCAGATCCCGTGGCCAGGGGTGGCTCGGGCAGCCTGGAGACGTTGGCAGTTGTCTTCGTTCTCCCTCCCTCGTTCCCTGGGGTCAGTCCAGCAGGCCCTCCCTCTCCTTGCGTGCTCCTTATGGTGGTTGGGGTTCCTTACCTGGCACCCTGTCCATCCAGATACTTCCTTGCTGGGTCTCAGGCTCTAGAACTTTCTCTTTCCACCACTAAAACATTTGGAACATCAGTCATGTTCCAAAACATTGTAATTCTCCCAGATAATCCCATCTGTCACCACGGTGACAGATGACAAGTTAATGTATCATGTCAGTGTGTTATCGTGAGCTATTAGCCCTTCTCAGACACAAGTGTTTTGTGTCTTCTCTGGGATGTGGGTTGTGCATCGAGACAGCAAGCTCTAGCCCAACGGCGTAATTAAGATGTTAGTCATTATCTGCAGGAAGGGAGGATTTGGTTGTTCTTGCTTGTTGATTGATCAGTTTTATTTAACTGTGGGTCTTTCAGTTACTCTTAAATTGTATTATATAGGGAACCATCACATTTTCTCATAGGTAAGATCGGCTTCATATTCGAGGAAAAATGTTTCTGAGTACTTCTGTAGTGCATTACTTGTGGGAAGAAGGTAGACAGTAAACATGCAAACACAGGCATAATGAAGTTTTACCTTCCAGCTACCTGGGTGTGGGAGTGTCTGTCCTTGGAGTCCTTCCGGCTGTCAAGGATGAAATGAGACTCCAAGATAAAATCTGCTTGGGGACAGAAGGCTGACCAGTCTCTCCGAGGAGGAAGGCCTCCAGCACCTCCTTCCCTGCCTGTTTATTGAGTTCAGCTCACACAGAGATACCTGTGTGCATGAAAAGCTCATCAATGTCCAAAAAGCTACAGTCATGAAAAACTGACATCATCTATACATAATGATTGAAGAAACACAGGGATTGTCTCTGGTCAGGGCTGGTGGGATATACTGACACAAGAAGGTTGCTGAGGCACCATGAAGGAAGGAGTTTTACTCATGCTTTGAGCTAGGACGTCTAGTTCGTATCAACAGGGCTATGGAGCAAGCCTCCAAGGAAACCACATACATTCTTTCTCAGGCCAGATTTGCCCCCAGGAGCCATCCATTCCAGTACAAGGCTGCAGCTGCTTCTGGCATTGTTTTCCGGGTGAGTCAGGCGGGGAGGAGCAAAGCAGCCAAGAGATTAGGAGACTTCTTATGGATAGAATGAAGACTCAGGCTCTGACAAAGTTGAGGGGTGAGGGTCTTTCTGCTCCTTTTTTATAGTTCCATAGTCCTTCGCTGATGGCCCTTTTTTGCAGCTGAGCCTGGCTTAGGTTGTCCCTCCCTTGAGGGATCGTACCCATCAGTGATTAACTAGCCATTTTTGGGGGCCAAGCAGGGTGGAGTGGGGGAGGCAGGGGCCGTGTTCCTGCCAGGAGGACAGGTTCTGTCTCCTTAATGGCTCACGGCCCCAAGGCCTTTTCACTCAGCCTCAGCTGTGGGACTCTTGTCCATTAATGAGGCTGCAGCCCCTGAAACCAGACAGGATGGCTCCCAACACCTGGACTTGAATCAATCTGGTGTTCTGTGGGCAATTTTAAGCACTTCTCTCTTTTTTATAAGAAAAAAAGTCAAACTTCATTCATGACAGAGTCACTTTGCAAGGGTCTCTCTCTCCTCTGCTCTTTTGCTTTGGAATTAAAGTTTTGTTTTTCCTGCTTTGAGCTTCCCCCTTTTTTCTTAGTTTACGTTTTTGTGAAGCCTTTCCTAGAGAAAGAATCAGAAAAATAAAGTGCTACTTCTAATATCAAGAAGGGGTGACACTTTGTACGTGGGGTGACACTTCCTGCGTGTTAAAGACAGTATTTTTGGCCCTGGCTGGTGTAGCTCAGTGGATTGAGCACAGGCCTGCGAACCAGAGTATCGCAGTTCGATTCCCAGTCAGGGCATATGCCTGGGTTGCAGGCCAGTTCCCTGCAGGCCAGTTCCCAGCAGGTGACGCACAAAAGCCAACCATACATTGATGTTTCTCTCCCTCTCACCTGCCCTTCCCCTCTAAAGATAAATAAATAAAATATTTTTTAAAAAGACAGTATTTTTTATTATATTGTGGCCTATTTGGAAGTGATGGTTTTTACCTTCATTTTAAAAGATTTCCTAAGGCAGGTGGCAGTCCCTGTCTCTGGAATTTTCCTGGTTACAGCTTTACCAGGTAACCTTTCAGAGGTATTTAGAACAGATTTCTGTGTGATATGTTGGACATATGTAGGCTGGGGGTGGGGGCTCCATTCTGTGCCTGCACATTAGACCATTTTTTGAAGAGATTTATTTATTTATTTTAGAGCGAAGAAGGGGGGGAGAAAGGGAGGGGGAGAAACATCTTGCGTGGTTGCCTCTTGCACGCCCCCTACTGGGGACCTGACCTGTCCCGCAACCCAGGCATGCGCCCTAATTGGGAATCAAACTGGGGAACCTTAGGTTCACAGGCCGGCACTCCATCCACTGAGCCACATCAGCCAGGGACATTAGACCATTTTTAAAAAGTCACTGTGAAAGTGGCAGTAGTTCTTGCTCAGTAAACCAGGATGCTCTTGGTCCTTGAAGCCTGAGAATAGTATGTTTGGGGAAAGGCTTTGGAGAATAAGAGGGAGCAGGAGTGACTTGCATTCATTAGCCATATTTCTGGGGGCTAACCTTCTTCTGACCAGCTATGATTATCTTAATACCGAGGTTTGGTGGTACTAATTTTTGGAAGTTCTGCCAAGGATTGCATAAAAATAGAAGTTCACCAACTTGGCAAGATGGGAGAAGTGTGAGGAGGAGGAACAGATAGCAGGACAGGTGGCCCCCACAACAGAACGATTAAGAATACCTGCAAGACAGAGACACCACTGTCAGAAGTGGGGAGAAAGATGTAAATATTTCTGCCGAGTCGTCTTCCACCACCCTGACTCACATTCGGTGGAGCTCTGTGGAATTAGGATGAACTTGTGTAACTACCGTCCTCCTTTATAAAACTATCATCTAAACAAATTACATAAAAATGTGTGACTCGGGAGGAATTGGTAGAGCAGAAAAGGGCAAGATCTGTAGGATGCCAGACTTGAATTCAGGGCTTGGGGTAGAAGTAAAAGGTGAAGGTAGGCCCAGTAACAGTGTCTGATAATCTTAGGTGAGTAAACACTGAAATGCTCAGAGCTCATAAAGGTTACCTTTATAATCAGGAGTCATTGGAAGCAGGTGGAGTCGGCTTTAATTTGGCCCCACAGGCTTGGCAGCATTTAAAGGTAACTCGCTGCATTTTCTTTCTGCCTTTGTCTCCTGTAGCACGCGGTCTGCTTAGGCAGCGCCATGAGATGGGTGGCCACTAGCACTTTGGACACAGTGACAGCATCTCCTATAGACTCTGGGTGAACTGTTCCCTGTCTTGTTGTGCAGGCCACATGCTTCAGGAGACAGTGACAGTGTCTGCATGCCTCTGCTCAGAAGGTTACTCCCCGGTGACCATGGACTCCAGTTCAGTGACCTACGTGGACAACATGGCCTGCAGGCTGGCCCGCCTGCTGGTCACCCAGGCTGACCGCCTCACTGCCAGCAGCCATCAGACCTTGCTGACCCCATTTGCCCTGACAGTGGGAGCCCTGCCTGCCTTGGATGAGGAACTCGTACTGGCCCTGACCCATCTGGAGTTGCCCCTTGGGTGGACTGTCTTGGGAAGTTCTTCACTTGAAGGTGGGTTTTCACCAGAAAATTTACTTGTCTCCTCAGAATCTGTCTTACAACTTATTGTCTGTTTTCCTGGGTGGGTTTTCCTGCCCACTTTTCACCCAGGCCTTGATCTGATGTGACCGGTTTCCCTGAGGTCCTGAGCTGCTCAGCTTGGGGCTGGTGGGTACTACTCTGTTCCAGGGGGTAAAGACCTGCCTCAGGAGGGAAGGGCCGTTCTTCGTGGAAGGCTCTCGAGCCCGCTGCTTTGGGCTATGGCTCCACCCCCCTTGGCAGCTTTTCTTGCCAGGAGATGGGGATATTGCAGAGCGTTTCCAAACAGGGAGAGTCATCGGGCAATGAAGAGCATCAGAAGAAGAGCAATGAAGGCACATGTAGAAGAAATAGGGCCATAAAGGAAATGTAACCATTATGTTGACATATTTAAAATGTCAGTGTCACTGTGAGCATTTGTACTATGTTATTTGTACTAACTTTTAGAGTTACCTCTGGGTGCCCCCGTTTACTAAAAGACTGGACAGACTGTAAACACCAACCATTTGGAATCTGGGTGAACAGAGATGATATTGTATTTAAGCCCATTGTAGGCATGAGGCTAAACTGCTCAATAGATGCTTGTTACGGCGATACGAATTCCATAGTTTTGTTGGAAGCACAGAGAGGCTGCTCTGTAGTGTTTTACTGAACACAATGTACACTGTTGCTGCTTGTCTGTGTTCTTCCGTGACTTTAGTTTTGTGGTTGCATAATGGTATTTTCAAGGGTTTCTGCTTCCCGAGAAAACCTGGTTCCAGATTGGTTTACATTTGATCATGGATAACATTAAACGTGCCGCTCTAGGTAAAGGGGTGTGACTTTGCGAAGAGAATCACGAGGTAATGGTTGATTGCAGAGGGGCTCTGTCTCTTACGGGTCCCTGAAATTCTCCCAGGCACGTAAGGATGAGTCTCATTTCTTTTTTTTTTTATACACATTATGTGTTTGTTTAGACACACATACACACACATAAATGTTGTGACATTTATGTATATATGCTGAACTAAAAGGTACACATGTTCCTTGACGACCATTCCCCTATTTTCCCCCATTATCCCTCTTCCCCCTCCCCACTCCGGTTACTGTCAGTTTGTTCTTTATTTCAATGTCTCTGGTTATATTTTGCTTGCTTGTCTGTTTGAATGATTCTTATTTCTTAAGACCTTAAATGAGAGACGTCGCAAGCCTAGTTCAGTGTTAAACCATGTCTGACTCTCGGGTGCTGCACCGTATAGTAGCTGATGGATGTGGTGCAGGGTGGCGCCCCAAGGGTGTGGGTGGTCTCCGTGTGTCTCACTGTTGTCCCCAAGGACCTAGCAAAGGGCTCAGGACACAGCAGATGTTCCAGAAGTATTTGTTGAATGAATGAAGGTTGTATCCTTAGATCTTTAAGGAGTCACACATTGTTTTGATTCTCCTATGTACATACAGCGGTGGGCAAAAGTAGGTTTACAGTTGTGAGTACATGAAGCAGTATTTATTCTTGTATTATTATTTATTAATTATTGTATTACTTCTTTTGTAATCATAAGCCTACTTTTGCCTGTTCCTGTGTATAGGAAAAAAATGTTGGAAAAGAAACTTTATTCATATTTATACACACATGTGTATATTCATATACACACATGGGTTATATACATGGATATATTCATATGTTAATTCATTTTATACATGTATATTTACATATATTCATTCATACATGTATATATATATATATGTAACCCAGAGCAGGTCCGGCTGCCTGCCACTATGAAGGAGGCAGGCCCTGATGTAAAGAAAAGCGGTTTATTTTCAGGGGCCAGCAACCTGGAAGATGCGGGAGGGCTTACGTCTCAAAGTCCATCACCTGGGAAGATGGGGGACTCATGTCACAAATTCCATCTCCACCTCCTCATGGAGGCAGAGGCTTTTATAAGGAGGGAGAGGAGAACAGAACAAAGAGGTCGAGGGAGGGGGCGGAAGAGTTCGCTCCGTGCAGACGAGCACAGTGCATTCCAATCAGGCAAGTGATGGTCCGGTGTGCGTCATCCTGGCTTAGTCACCCTGGCTGCACGTCATGCCGATTCCTCGATGAAAGGTTATCAGATTTCCTGGAACCGGGATGCCCGAAGGTCAGAGTCTGTATCTTTTGAAGTTAGTTCCTAGGATTCTTATACAAACATGCTGTTTATCTGTAAGCCATGTACTAGTCAGAGTCAGCACTTACAGAAATCATGTCAAAAGAATGGGGGAGTGGGTTACAGTTTCCCACTGTTACAATTTTTCACTGATTGATGTATGTGTATCTATCTATATTTATAGGTATATATATATATATATACATACATATACACACCTATAGATACACATACACACATATAAATATAGATAGATATACCTATAGATATAGATACACCTGTAGATATAGATATACCTATATATCTCTATAGATACACATTACGTATATGTTTTCTGGCTAAGGAGCTTCATTTCCTTAAGTTTTCTGGCTTAAGAAAACAAATTCTAGCAATAATATTGGAGGTGTTTTATTATCGAGAAGGCAGACCCACGTTAACAAAAACTGAAAGTATTCGTGATTTCTCACCAGTGGCTGCACTCAAGGCCGTAAGTGAAGATCCCCAAGGCTCACAGAGAGGCAGTCAGGCCAGTCCCAGGACTCACTCCTTTGCCAGCCGGCAACTGCCTCTGCTTAGCGGCTTGGAGTCTGCACTGGTTCAGTTTTTAAAATGGCAAATGATTGGAAGTGTGGAATGTTATAAATATACATGAATAGCTTAAACTAAGAGTCTCCAAAATGGGATTTATGTTATCCACATGCTATGTTTATTTTTCATCCCAAAACTTAGAAATAAATGAAGGTTTCCTAGTATTTAATCTATGGGTTGACAACAGTGGCCGCATGCAGGGCTGCCGAAGAAGGGGCCTCGTGAGCATCACTCGTGCACAGGGAAGCCGGGGCGGGAGCTGACTCAACATACGTAACACTCACGGTCGGTGTTGGGAGTGTCTGTTTGATTAGCTTTGCTTATACAGACGTGTGATCAAATATGTTTGGAGAACACTGGCTTACCGCTAGGTAGCTAAGGGTCATCTTATTGCCATTTTCATTGCTGTTTGGAGATGTATTTTTGCTTTCCAAGCCTCCATTCATTGTGATGTTTGGTTTATCCATATCCTTGGTGACTTATGGCACCAAGGGGTCCTTGCTGACCTCTCGGCCACACTTGTATAGGTATATGTATTTTTATGAGAGGAAAGCGGAGCAGTTCGTTTTTGTGGTTTGACATTGTATTCTCTGGGAGGAGAATTCTAGTGTCATAGTCATTAAGAATATGTGCTCTGGAGCCAGGTTTAAATCCTGGCCTTGCTGCTTCCTGGCTCTGAGACCTCATGGATATGTTATTTTAGCTCTCATGCCACAAAGTTACAATTTCTAAAATGAGGCACAATGGCACCCACTTCATTGGTTTCTAGTGGTGGTTAAATAAATAACATATGGTGAAGTTTCTAAACAATGTCTGAATGTCTGAGTTCTCAGTATAAGTTGATGTGTGTTTGTACTCGACTGGATTTCAATATACAGAGAATATATTGTGTTGCATATGCGGAAAGTGCAATTGGTCCGGGCAAATGAAGCTACAGGCAAAGCAGTACAATCCTGGTTATTGTAAACAATTCCTTGAAGATTTCTAGAACTTTTTTAGACTTTCTGTAGAACAGTTTGTAGTACTTGAGGTAGCATTACCTGCAGCCCAGACTTGTAAGGGACTTCTCTGGACATCAGTGTGAAGGGATAGGATTAACAGATCTTTTTCTTTCTGCTCCTCGAATGGATGGATTTCACTACAGTCTTCAGGTTCACTGATCCTGTTTTCCACTAAGCTAGTGTACTGTTGAACCCTTCTGTATTTTTCATTTCGGTGATTATATTCTTCAGCTCTGTGATTTCTGTTGGTGCTCTTCAATATTTTCTGCCTCTTCATTGAACTACTCTGTTTATACATTGCTCTCCTGACCTTGGCGAGGATCTTTGTGACCATTTTAAACTATCAGATAAATCACTTATCTTCATTTCATTAAAATCAGTTTCTGGATTTATATTTTTATTTGAAACATATTCTTTTGTTTATTTTCCTTGACTTTCTGTTGGTTTCTGTACATGAGAGAAAGGAGGCACCTCTCCCAGTCTTGATAGACTGGTCTTGTGTAGGAGATGAACCTCATCAGTCAGCCCCAGCTAGCGGTTCCTCTTAAACCTTTGTGATTGTTCACATTGCTGTCTTTGTTCTTAGCGGCCTGCAGTCCTTGAGTGTCTGCCAAGACCCACCAGTGCCACCCCAGTCCTGCCCAAGGGGAGGATCTTAGTCAGCACCCAGATCTGGGCTGATTAGAAGGCAGAAGCTGGGAACATATGCAGTCAGACCCCTTCCAGGGAAAAACTAGGAGACAGGCTTTTTTTCTTTTACTTGCTCCTTCTGTGCGGACAGAACTTTGGAGGGATAGCCGGAGTGAGTGTTCATGTGCGTAGTAGCCATTAGCTGCTGCTTTGTCCACTACTGTCCTTGAGAATGCAACCCCCATTGGCTATCAGAGCCAGGTGATCTGGAAGTCTGTCCCTTGAGTGGCATCAGACATGTACACAAGAACCTTCCAGAGAGAGGCTTGTGGTCTGGCTTTATTTTTGGAGTGAGCTGGAGTGAGGAGGGGAAAAGTGCCCATTGGCTCCTGGGTCCAGCCAGCCCCTAGGTGCATGCTGATTAGAAAAAGGACCCCCAGGCAGTAGTTTGTATGCAGTCAAATCCTTTCCAGGGAAAGAGTGGAAGATGGGTGTTTCTGCCTGCCCCCTCTACACCGAGGCCTGGGGTGATGCCATTGGGCATGCTTGTGTGACCATTAAGAACTGCTTCTGTGTTTGCTATAGTCTATAGGACACAGATACAAGCCCCTTTGGCTTTTAGAGCTAGATGATT